TTTGATATGCATCAAGCCATAGTTAAAACATTTTCATTTTTGGAGGTCATTTAGGTCATTAGAGGTCGTAAGAGGTCATTAGAAGGTCAAACACTGGATTTTTTGCTGCTACTGTATTCCCTGGGTCCCTAGCTTTCGTTTGATGTGCATAAAGCCATAGTTGAAATATTTTCTATTTCTGGAGGTCATTAGAGGTCATTAGAGGTCATTAGAGGTCATTAAAATTCAATTTGATTTGATTTTATGAATTTCGATCACTAATTTGGCGTGCACCCAAAAAATTGGAAGATTTGAACCAAAAATGAAGGCAGGGCCCCCCCCCCTACATCAAATGTGCCAACTCCACCATCCCCTTTATGTTCACATTAGCTTGGGAACCCAGCTTTAGCTGGAAACTAAACATCGATCTATAAATATACATTCTTTGGTTGGGTATCTGTTTGTTTGTTTGCATCAAATTAACGTCAAAACGGATGAACCGATCGGGCCCAACATTTGTGAGGCAACTCACATGACCCCACGGGAGATTTATGGCTGGTCGAAGTTAAAAAATTTATTATTTATAAAAATGCACCAATTTAAACAAAAAAAATCTACGAAAATTTGAGACGAACATTTTAACAAAACAGAGATTACATCTTTACATAACTAGATTTGAATTCAACTACAAAACATGAGTTCCATATCTGAAAACTTTAGAATGGTGGATATCGAGATTAATGCTTCATCCTCTCTTTTTCTTAATATCGAGACTAACTTAATTTTCTCTTTGTATCCTGAAAAGTGTATAAAATTCAACCGATCAGAGTCGCATATATGAAGCCGATAAATTGAAAATTTTGCACGCCATTTAAGATTAATATACAGAAACGAGAGGGACCCTCTAATTTTAAATAACCGGTTTATGAAGAAAATCAAAAGTGTGTCAATTGGATACTCAGATTAAGTAATCGGGATTAAGGATATCTTATTCTAAAGTTTTCAGCTCTGCACAAATAATTATCACAATTTGCTATGACATTCGTACCCGCCTTAGCAGGGCCGTATCAAAGGATGGTAGTAATTTTTTAAACATGAATCTTTTAAGAAACCCAGTGTACAGCAAAGTGGATAGATTGTAAATATGACCTTATTAACGCAGAAGACGCGCATAGTGGATAGATTGTAAATATGACCTTATTAACGCAGAAAACGCGCATAATGAAGGATAAGTCCTAAATAATCATTTTATACCTTTCACTGACATGTTGAAAACGTCGTTTACTGCTTCCTGCTTGAGGGATATTTACCATAACAGTATTATTTAAGATGCTATCCTGTTTGAACTACCGCCGTTTGAACTATTGTTCGTTTGAATCACTGCACGTGGTACCACGTGAGTAGTTCAAACATCCAATAGTTCAAACGAATTTTTTTAATGCTCATTTGAACTATTTTTTGTTCATTTGAACTACTGTTTATTAACTATTAATTCATAAAAGTTCAAATGACCTTAAAAGTATTGCAAATTGAACAGAAAACTAGTTCAAATGAACGAAAATAGTTTAAATGAACAAAAATAATAGTTCAAATGAACAAAAAATAGTTAAAATGAACATAAAAATAGTTAAAATTAATATAAATATAGTTTAAATGAAATAATCGAGAAACGCAAAAATAGTTCAAATTACCAGAAAAATAGTTCAAATGAACAAAAAAATAGTTCAAATGAACATAAACAATTATTTTTAATAAATTCAAATAAATTCATGAGTCTAAATGAAATAAAGTTTACATGAATAAACAAATTTTAGACAATTTTTTTTCTTCATTTGAACTATAATAGCCGCAGCGCTCGGCCCCTTAGCCTGTTGTATTATCCGCAGCGCTCGGCTCATAAATTGTCTTAACCTAACCTTACCCTGAAATAATACATACATTTGAACTATATTTTGGGTTCATTTGAACTATTTTTTGGGTTCATTTGAACTATTTTTTGGGTTCATTTGAACTATTTTTATGTTCATCTGAACAACATAACCGCAGCGCTCGGCCCAGAAATTGTCCTAACCTAACCTAACCTTAATAAATACATTTAAACTATGGTAATTTCTTAGAGAACGATTTTTGGAACCCCCCTAGCCTATCCTAGCCGCAGCGCTCTGCCCCCTATCATATCCTAGCCTCAGCGCTCTGCCCCTTAGCTTATCCTAGCCGCAGCGCTCGGCCCAGAATTTGTCTTAACTTAATCTAACCCCCAATAATAAAAGTGAATGAACAAAATTGATAGGAGGAGGGGTTTCCAAAAGTCGTTCTCTAGGACAGTCCCTATTGTTTTGTTCATTTGAACCATTTTTTGTTCATTTGAACTATTTTTTGTTCATTTGAATTATTTTTTGTTCATTAAAGAACTATTTGTTGGCTCATTTGAACAATTTAATTTTCATTCGAACTTTAGATTCATTTGAAATATTTTTTTGTAATTTTTAAAACTATATCATTAATTGCGACCTCTTCATGAATTATAATGCACCAAATTTATAGAAAAAATAGTTCAAAATGTGTTAATTTGAACTGAATGATATGCATACGTCATGACAGTGTTAGTTCATGAACAATAGTTCAAACGGCGGTAGTTCAAAGAGGTAACCACCTTTCGTTCTTAAACCCAGCATTTTTTCATGATAATCACTGAGACACTTCACTGAAGTTTAATCGTAATTAATGTTAAAATCAATTAGAAATGTTGTTAAAGTTTAATCACAAATTGGTTCATACAAAAAAATATCTGAAATTCTGAATGAAAACAGCTGTTCGGTGCCTTTTTTATATACTTTACAGACGGATTGCTAGTAGCGCCACCTATTTAAAATTAAATACTACTAGCGCCATCTTTTATCTGAATTTACGCATGCGTAGTAGAGGATTTGCGCTTTTAGGTAAAGGACACGTCAAATCTCCGATCCAAACCAAACCGTGTTATGTAGGCCAGCTGAAACATTTCTAGTTTTCCATATTGACAGATTTAAACTTTCTCCTGGGCCTGATCTAGGTATTTAAAAGCTCTTAATCTGTTCCCGCGGTTTTTTTCCGACGCTTCGTTGATTTTCTGTAAAGTTTGCAGACTTTTTAAGATTAGGTTCGAAGATTTTCTCATGTGTATGTTCGAGTGTGATGTTGTGATAGTGTGACTGTAAGTCGGGCGAGTTGGACAAAACAATCAATTGTTATGGAACTTGATTTCTTAATTTCTTATCTTTCATTTATTGAACACAACAAAAACCGGTTTACTAGAGTAATTGTTCATTAGAGCAGAAGTCCTGAACACTTGTTTTTCGAATATTAATTGAATGTTTTTGTTTAGAAATAAACACACTGAGTGTTTCTAATTTGACAGTGACAGGACCAAGAAGCGAGGCAGAGTCGCATATATGAAGCCGATAAATTAAAAATTTTGCGCGCCATTTAAGATTATATACAGAAACGGGAGGGACTCT